AAAAAAAAAAAAAAAAAAAAAAAAAAGTAGTTAAAAGTCCTGGAAGGAGTAAAAAGTTATATGCAAATTTTCAACTGTGTGAGGCAGTTACTGCCTCTTACTGGGTTGTTCAACAGTCAACAGTACATATATTTAAGATATCTTATAGATACACACACACACACACACACATAAAAGTGTATGTGTGTGTGTAAAAGCGCAGCAAATATAAATATACATATTTGATAAATATAGCAGTTATATAGTATTAATGGTAAATATATTTGTGGTAAAAAATACAACGAAGAATTAATGTATACAAATTTCAGATTAGTGATACTCTGGCAGAGAAAGGGGAGTATCAAAGAAAAGGGATAAACAGCAGGCTTCATCAGCACTGCTGAGGTACTTACTATTTCTTATGCTGGATGATAACTTATAAAGATTTTATTTTAAAATGTATATGTTTTGTGTAGATGGTATATATAATTATTTAAAACATCTTTACAAGGTCAAATTTATGAAGGGTCTGAAGCCAAAAGTAAAATCTCTATAATACTTCTAAGGTACATTTCAAAATTGAACTACAATGATAACAGAAAAGTCTCATTTGTGCTTGTGGTATAGTCTCAGTTCAAAAATTTAACGCACATTCAGCATTTGAAAATGAAGATCCTACTTATGCAACATTATTGTAGTAAGAAAGAGAAACAAATGTTGTTCTTAAAAAGACTTTTTAACATAAGACTGCTTTTGCACATAATAGGATGACACTGGTTTATGACTATCAGAATGTTTTATTGTGGTAGGAGAAATCAGATTGTTTCTTCACAGCAGCTTTGATACATTCCCATACAGGTCCTATCTCAAGGATTAGAACTGAGACTAAGTAAATAAAATATCTGCAATAGCAGCCTCCTTAAAGTTGTCTCATAGCATACTGATACTCTGTTTTTATTTATTTTTTTTCTTTATGTGTTCCATTTTGGATAATTTCTAAGTTTTTCAAGTTCATTAACCTTTTCTTCTGCAATGTCTAATCTGTTGTTAGTTCCATACAGTGTATTTTTCATCTCAGACATTACAGTTTTCACCTCTAGAAGTTTAATTTCAGTCTTTTTCTAATATCTTCTATGTCTCAGTTTAATATCCAAGAGGGACACCTTACAGCTCTCTGAAGTTCTGTCTTTGTGCCACCTCTTTGGTGTCTATATTATGAACTCTAGGTCCCTTGGTTCCCCCAGATTCTCTGATTTCCATGTGCTCATCTCAGCTCAGGATCTATCTCCCCATTCCTGTGCTGCATCCTACAAACACTCAAAATAATATAAACTAAGGGCAGTTATAGAGATCATTTTGTTTCTCATCTTTCAGAAGTCACTGTCCTTTGTTACTTTATGTTCCTGTCTTGAATTCAAAACAGCTCTTGCATATTTTTGTCCATTTTTTTGGCTATATCAGATGGAAGGGAAAATCTAATCTGTCATTCAGTCATACCCAGAAGCCAAATATCTGGAAAAGATTTCTTTACAGACTATCTGCCCAAATAGATCATCTCTTGCTGAGAGACAGACTAAGTGCGTAGCAGGTATTTGTATTTGCTTTGCATCTACAGCTGTCAACTGCTAACCCTGGGTTGTTGAGCTCTAAAATGTTAGTGAGGAGTCAAAGTTTTAAATAACAAGTAGGCACTGAGTTACTGCTTATAAAAGTCTGACAATCTTTTAAGTATTCTGTAGTGCCTGTATTTTTTAAATTACTTTTACTTCCATTTCTCACCAGCCTTATGTAAGAGAAAAATAGATTCTCATTAAAAATATAGGACTAACTCCAAAGCAAATAAACTTCTGTAAGAGAGATATGGCTACTGCCACATAAGTGATCAAATTTAGCATCATTAATATGGAGACAATTTGACATTATTACTAAATGATACCATAGGAAGTATGTATTATCACCCATGACAAAATGTGTAACCAGAATCTAATAATATCTTTAAATATAAAGATAAGAGGAAGGTTGTTCAAATACTGATCTGCTGCAAACTGGCATCCTAAAAGGAAGCTGGCTTCTTGCACAACTATAAGGACACCAGCTTTAACCTAGTGTTCAAGGCAATTAGTCCTGGTAAGTGCTGGCAAATCTGGGTTAGAAGACACTGGTTTGTTATGTCACACAGCTACAATCACAAAACTTTAACCCTAACCCATTAACATGCTGGAAGAGAGCTTGTTGTCTCCCAGCTGATGAAAACTGAGGTAACCGAAAAGCTATAAGCCAAGAGTCTACCTTCATTATTCTGGGGAGAGGGCTAGTACTTCGCTTATAAGGCCATAGCTTAAGGAGAAGTACATCTTCTGGATTCTAACACCCAGCCTTTGCGCTAGCCCCCAAATGCAGGAAATGGGGGAACTGCACACTTGCCACTGCTTCTGTCTTTGTGTATTTTCTCTAAATGCTTTTCCATGCCTGACATGTGGGCTTTCTAGTCACTTGACTGTATTGCTCAACAAGAACCAGCTTCCAGGTTAGTAATGACAAGTGTGAGAAAAAACAAATGCCATCATGAGAAAACGATGAGGTAAATCTAGGATGTAGGATATTCTATAAAGAATTGACATGGACTCAAAAAAAGTCAATGCCATGAAAATAAAAAAAGTGATAGAAGGATTATTATAGGTAAAAGGTAACTAAAGAGAAATAATAACCAAATATAACTAATGAATCTTGATCGATTCTCGTTGGAACAAAGGAGGTAGAGAAGAAATTTAACTATTGGTGGCAACTGGGTTAATCTGCTTATAAATTGGGTTTTAGATCCTATTAGGGATTTATCATTAATTATCTCACATGTGATAAAGATATTCCATTTATACAAGAGAATGTCTCCTTTTTTGGAAACCAAGAGATAAGGCAAATGTATGTCAACAGCAAAGTGCATAAATTATGGTATATTAAAAAAATGGAACATTACAAATCAATTTAGAAAATGATTATAACTACTGGTAAATGACATGGATGAATCTCACAATGTTGACTGGTTACTAAGTGAGTCAAGGAGGGAATAAGAGTTGTGACTAGGAAGTAGCAGAGGTAGAGTCTGTGACTGTAGACCGGCAATGTTGTATTTACTGATCCAGTTGTAAAGAGATGGGTTTTTGTATTACAACTGTTAAAATATGAATATTTGGATTATGTACTACTTTGTGTGTACGTTTTTGTTTCACAATGTGAAATAAAAAGGGTATTATCAACTTGATGCTAATAAGTTTGAATGTGTATATGAAAGAAACCAATTCCTAGAAAAATACAACTTGCCAAAATGACGTAGGAAGAGATAGAAAATCTAAATTCTCTTAAATCTATTTTTAAAACTAAACTGAATCAATAATACAAAAAAATCCCCAATAAGAAAATTCTAGGTCCAGATGGCTTCTCATTGGCAAATTCTACCAAGCAATCAAAGATGAATAGAGATGACAAAGAGGGGAATCCCTCCCTCAACTTGCTTTATAAGACAGCCATAACCTTACTTACTCAGGAGAGTAAGGAGGAAAATTATAGGTGAAATATACTCATGAGCATAGATTTTAAAATTGTAAACAAAATGTGACTCAACAAAATTCACAAACATTAAAAAAATGCTTTTCCTTCTCTCTTGTACTAAGTTAAACCTACCTGAATTTCTACATTTAACTGCTCAATGAGGATCAACGTATTAAGAAAAAGTCAAAGTTGGGGATGAGGATTCCCCACTCTAGAAGGAGTTCATAAAGAGTGTAATGAAGGTGATTTATAATATGTGAATTACTTATACTAATAATAAAATCTTTGATATTTAAATCGGGTAGAGATGATATGGCTGGAGACTATACTACAAATGTGTTCTACAAAACAACCAAGTCACATTTTGAGGGCAACATAGGGCTTTATATTTAAGAAAGAGTTTAGAAAACCAAAAAGCACTATAACATTGCAAGGCATTATAACAACATAATCTTTTTATTTTAGCTAAAATTTATGAGCCAAAATTTAAGCTCAACAAAGTTTGGTATTTTTGTTGTCTAATGTATCAAGTGCTTAGAACTATGGCTGATATGTGATAGGCACACGGATATTTGTTGAATAAATAACTTTTTAAAATATTATTTCTAAAATCTCTAATAAACTAATGCAAGAAACTGGTTTTATACGTGCACTTTACATTTGCTTGTTAACTGAGGTGCACTCACTAATTTGAAGGCATAGTCGATGCTGATGTCTTAAAAATTAAGGATTATTAAAAAAAAATTAAGGATTATTTTAAAAAGGAAAAATGTCTTTCAAATCCTCTTTTACACAATAAAGAACTTTAACTGATTTATTCTGTTTAACTTGTAAGTCAATCTTCTACCATTGAAGAAAACACTTACTTTTACAAATTAAAACGCTCAACCTCCATAATCTGCCCTTCACTTTTGTTTGTTGAAAATCTAATAAAACACTTCACTTTTACATTTCATATTAAGGTTGACTGACAAATTATGATAGCATGATAAAGTTTATAAGTGTGTTATGAACATCTTATGTTTTAAAAAAAACAGTATTTGTGGCAACAACTCTTAAAAATGCAAAAGTCTACATCAATTATACCTCACACAGCCAAATGCCATTAGTCGATACTTGTTATTTACTGCTACACATGTTCCATCAACAACATCTTGTGGCCAAACTCCATGAAGCTGCTATAATAAAGAAAAACAGTTAAGGCTTAAAAAGTATTTCTCCAAATTTACATTAGTCAATATAATTCTCCTTCAGTAAACATACAATTTCATAACGCTTATTTGGTTTCATCTGCAGAGGAAATTATCCTACCAGGACTACCACAATAGTCTCCCTTAAAACCTCAAGCTTCTCATGAATTGGTCTCATAAATACTGAGCTCAGTCCAATGCTAGTTAATCTATTTAAAAAACCCTAAAATGTGGAAATTCAATCTCCAAACTCAAAGATAACTTTCTTGTTAGAATGTAAACATTTTGATAGCAGAAATCGCATCTAACTTGCTCACTATTATTATTCTAATCACCTAGCACATAGTATTTAACTTCTCAGTCAATGAAAAGTAGTACATTCTGTTTGGTTTATTCTTTAGAAGCAATTCATGATTTCTCAATTGCTTACTGCTCTCTACAATTCCCGTTCTTTATAATGTAATGGTTAATAGCATGGTATCCGGAAGCCTGACAGCTCAGGACTACTTTCACTCCCCAAAATGATTATTTGATCTTTTTAAGCTTCAGTTTTCTTATCTGTAAGTTATTTACCTCTTAAGGTGTTTCAAAGATTAAATGAAGATATACATGCAAACTATTTAGGACAATGCCTCCCATTCAACAAGCATTCAACAAATGAATGACGTTACTGGTAAGCGTATATGCTATTTAATTCCATATATAGATACAGAATAGATTCAGCTCAGTTTAGATGATAAATTCCAAGGCAAAGGTCATGATCATTAGTTCAGCTGGCACAAAAAGTGGCATACTATAATATAGCATTTTTGGATGATCCCAACAGTAAACACTAAAGATACAATATAATCACAATGATTTGAACTAGACTACTACAGATTTCACTTAATTCCAAAATCAGCTATATAATCTATCTAAACATGGAATATTTGCTTTTTTAGTAGGAATTTTATTATTCAATTTTAATAATAAAACTGGACATTTTATGTCACAAAATGGTAAAAAGAGCAGTGAGCACTACTTTTCTGACTACTGCTTAGACTGAAAATTCATCCTGTAAGTATTTTCTAGGTGTTTACAATTCACCAGGCACTGCTCTAGGTGCTGAGGTTATCCTGGCACAGCAAAATCTCTACTTGTATCCTTGCCTTACATTTGAGTCAAGGGACAAACAAGTTAAAAAAGTATACTGTATATGAATACACTAAATACCATCGACTTGTGAAAAAAAAGTATAATGTATATTAGAGGTTAGTAAATACTATACAAAAAAAATTAAGCAATGGTGGTGAAGACGGAGTACAGGGGAAGAGTGTAATATTAAACAGGTTTCCCTATAAGGACGCCTTTTGAGGAAAGTCCTTAAAGAAATAAAGCAAGTGTTAAGGGCCCTCTTGTAGTAGCATTTCTGGCATGCTCAAAGACCAGCAATGAGGCTTGTGTGGATAGAGTGAAGTAGATGGGCTGTGAAAGGAAAGTGGTGTCTGCGGTAAGAGATATAACAGGAGGTCAGGTATTTAGGGCTTTGAAGGTCACCATAAGAATTCTGGCTTTTTCTCCAAGTTATGTAGAAGAAGAATTTTAATTTTTAACGTTTTCTGTCATGAATTATAATAATACATAAAAATGAAATGCAAATTTCAATATCACAAAGCAAACACCTGTGAAACTGCTACTCAGGCCAAGAATTATCAGTACCCAAAAGTCTCCCAATACAGTAGTGCCCTTCCCAATCACTATATCCTCATATCCCTACCATAAAGTAACCAATATCCAGATTTACATGGTAACCACTTCCTTCTTTCTTTTAAACCATTACCACTTAAACATGCACCAGTATGTACCTCTAATTTAGAACTGCCTGTGTTATTTGCCCTTTAATTTTTACCTAAAATGGAATCATAGCATGTATTCTTTTGTGTCTAGCTGCTTTTGCTCACCATGTCTGTGAAATTTATCTGTGTTGCTGCATAAAGCCTAGTTTGTTCATGTTCACTGCAGGCTTAAATAATGAGCTTAGCTCACTGGGTTGCTGCCCTCTCTTAGTCTGGTAACTCTTCACCGTCTTGTTTGCTCTCCAAGGCCTTCAAGCATACTAAAACATGTATTTTTTCTCCAGCTCTTTTACTCCTCAGAAGGTTCTGTCCTAATTATCTAGTCCTACTGAGTAAGTCTTCACAGAGGACTGACATAATCATATTTCAACGTATTTATTAAATATCATTTAGTTATTTCCTTATTACCAGTAATACATATGTGTTGTTTTCTTGTAATTTGTATTTTCTATCTATACCTTATTTAGTAATACCTATCTGCTTTTCATTAGTTTTTAAATCCTTATTAGAAAAATTTCTTTATATTACATACTAATACATTCTGAGAATATATTTTCTACTACCTCTAAAGTACTTGGAAAAGAGTCAATCACTTTTTCAGCCCTAATACTTTTATTTCCAATCTAAACATTTAAGTTCCAGAGATAATTACAAATATATGCACCATATAGGAAAAAAATGAGATTTTTTTCTAATTCATCAAAAGTTTATTTTTATTCTTATTTATATATTGACACAGGTGATCACGAAGGTATTATTTAGTATCTTACTATCTGAATAAAGTTGATAATGGAAGATATTAGAATATTAAAGCTGATACCAAACAGAATGACAACAACAACAAAAAGGCCATTAAAAACTTAAATTCCTTTCCAGTTAAAGAGAGATGACTAAACATAAATATTTAGCTTCTTGGATTCCTAAAACCCTAACTTCTACAAGAGAAGAGTTTTTGTTTAAAAAAGCATAAAGCGGCAAAGACAAAAAGAATAGGAGAGGAGGTGGCATTAGAAAATTTTAAAAGCTGGAAAGCCTATCGATGAGTAGAATTCTTAACTGGCAGGGAATAATGCTGAGAAACATCTAAATTTACATTGTAGGGTACACAAAAGGCTTGGGAATTCTGGTGTCTTTGAAAGGCTAAACTAAAAGCTGTAAAAGTGGTTCAATACCTACTTCAAGAAGCAACTAGGTCCTCCCAGAGCACTTTCCTAAAGCTGAGCAGTCAATAAATTCCCCAACTCTACTCCTTCAGAAAACTGAGCATCTTTCTTCGGAGAAAACCAAACCAAAAAATCCCTACCCTCATACCCTCCACCAGAGGTCTATGGACCACACTGAAAATAGGGATGGAAAGCAAAGGTTCACACCTTGAATTTGGACCCTCTACCCTAACTCTTCTGTAATCCAAATCCCAGAATATTGGGGTAGCTAAGTATGTATCTACTAGAAAGGACTGCAGGACTCTTTTCCAAGAACACTGGAGCCAGAAGGGAGGGAGAGGGGAACAGAAGGGAGGGAGAGAGGGAAGGGTATGACTCTAAAGCTAGGAGGGTCCCAAGGAAATAGTCAGCCTATCCTACAGTAAAGGACACAGTCAACCAAAACTCAGTTTTCAACACATCACTTTTATTTTAGTTCTCTGTAACAGCAGCCAAATCCATATATAAATTAGCTATTAGCTATTAAAAGATCCCACACAAATAAGAGTAAAGGGAATCTCAGAATAATTATGTCAGAAAGCCAAAAAATACAGCTGTGTTTTATATATTAAAAACTTTTTTTTTTTCCTGAGACAGAGTCTCAGTCTGTTGCCCAGGCTTGAGTGCTGTGGCGTGATCTTGGCTCACCACAACCTCCACCTCCCGGGTTCAAGTGATTCTCCTGCCTCAGCCTCCCGAGTAGCTGGGACTACAGGCATGTACCACCATGCCTGGCTAATTTCTGTATTTTTGTAGAGATGGGGTTTCTGTATGTTGGGAGGATGGTCTGGAACTCCTGACCTCATGATTCGCCTGCCTCAGCCTCCCGAAGTGCTGAGATTACAGGTGTGAGCCACTATGCCCAGCCAAAAATATACAATTAATAGTAATAATCAAAATCACAGTAACTGTAATGGGAACATGGGAAGAATATAAGCATGGTGGAAGCAGGGAAGAGGAAAGTTACTGGTCACTTTCCAAAGTACGAAGTCAATAAACAGAGCCCAAAAACTAAAAATTAAAGAAAATATTCAGAGTAGTGGAGATTAAAAATCAAAATAACCAGTAAAGGAATAAAAAGTAGTTGCCTCGAAGAGTGGAAAATTAGACATAAGGGTAGCAAGGAGGAGAACAGGAACCATCATTTTTCTTTAACATGTCCAAGAGAATTTTGTCTACTTACACTATTTATATGTTTGGTTTGATTAAAAAATTAACAACCCTTAAAATCGTGTATGAATGATAAAAATAAAGAAAAATTTGATAACAAAGAATAAAATAATTAAGTGCAAAAAAGGTCCCTTCAAAGTAAGTAAGCCATACCTCTGCAGTAAATCTACTTGACACTGGTGTAATAAATCCAACTTTACCATCATTAAATACAACAGCAAACCCATCAAGTGTGGCACAGTATTCCATGTCTCTGATGTGTACATCTGTGAAGCCCAGGAATGAACCTACTGATGAAAAAAATAAGCACATGAAATAGGATTAAGAATACAGTCAGCTAGTCTCTCACCTTTTGTCAGCAAAACCTGTAAGGTTAAAAGGGCAAAAATAATGACCTAACAACCTTCAACAGTTAAAAAACTGTCCTTTCCTACTAAATGCCTCTCCCACCCCGCCTCTCCCCTTGCATAACTGGTTCCAAATAAGTGTTTGTCCATAGAAGATATCTAACTAGATATCAGACATAAACAACTGGTTCCACCTCATGTATAAAGTATAGGTACCTCTAGATGACTGCAGGTCTACAGAAAAGGGTACTGTGCAAAGATTAATGGCTTTCCTTCCATTTGTTATTCCTTCCCAGTGAATAAGATGAAGAAGTCCATCAGAAGTAGCAACCAGGAGATCTTCCAACACAGACTGCAAACTGTAGGTAGAATCAATTTTTAAGAGAGCATACCAGGAAAGCAATGTGTATGAATGTAAAAACTGCTTTAGAGAACACTCATGCAAAAATGATCGAAACCGTTTACAAAATATCTCCATTTATCTGCAACTTTATCTATGTATATTTGAATCAAAAATCCTGGAAGAAATGACAGACTAGGGGAAGCCACAGTCACAAACTTGATAACTGATAAAACTAGTTAAAAACTAGAAATAATGAAACAGCAAATTATAAGACAGAAACAAAAGTGAGAGCAGACAAAAAAGAAAAAGATGTAGAGAAACAATAAAATCAATAAACCTAACTAATAATAGTAAGACAAACTAGAGCCACAAAGTGTAGAGGTAACAATCCTCTGGCACTTGTCCAATAAAACTCTGAATAATGATGGAAATGTTCTGTATCTATACTATCTGTAAACAGTAGTCACAAGCCATCTATGGTGACTATACACTTCAAATATGGCTAGTACAACAAAATAACTGAAATTTTATTTACTTTTCATTAATGTAAATTTAAATAAATTCACGTGTGACTAGTGGCTACTGTATTGGACTATATTTCCAGGCCAATATATTTCTTAGATATTAGCAAGTCTCACATTGTACATTCCTTCTACAAACATTTACTGAGCCTATTCTCTGTGACAGGTGCTATACTCTGTGTTGGATATTCGAGGGTGAATAAAATATTCTCCCTCTTCAGAAGACTTCTCAGGCAAAAAATGAAAAATAGTTACAAAGGATGATCTCAATACTTACCAATATTTGTGAAGATATTCAGCATTTACTTATTTAATGGGGAAATAGCCTGTTTTGCTCACCTCTGTATGCACACAGCCCCAAGGGCAGTTAAATCTGTCACTAAATATTTGTGCAAAGGAGGCAAGAAGAAGGAAAGGGCTAGAGGAAACAGGAACCCATAAATGAGACTGCAAAGATATCGGCACAAATTAAAAGATAACAAGGGAAACCAGTAGAAACTGATATCAAGAAAGCCAAGGAAGTAAGATGAATTTAAGAAAGAGTGGTTAAAGTATCAAACACTGTATAAGGAAAAATTTTAAAAAATTATCTGTATATTATATGTACCCTACTCAATACTATTAAATTCCCTTTCATACTTAAGGAAAGAACATATTTCAAAAATATTTTAATTGATAATGATGAAAAAATATATTTTGGCATTTTAATTCTTAAATGTCAATTACTCATTCTCCTCCAAAGATTTCAGCTAATGAAGAATTTGCTGTATTTTTTCCCCAACTATAAAAATACTGAAAAAGATTACAAACAGATATTTCTTTACCCAGCTCTATTTCTTGAACTTAACAGCATTTGTAATCAATTAAAATTCCCAATTATAGACATTTCACTTTTTAAAGCATTATATATTCTTTAATTTCAAATTTATATTCCAGTGATAAAATCTATGTGCATCATTTGGTGGGTAGGGCATAAAAACTTTATGGTTTAGATGTACTATTATATGCTATGAAAATATATAATTCAAAATCTAAGCTGTTGGAAATCTGAATTACTTTGAGCCTTAAAGAAATGTAATTATGGGGCCAGAGCGACATAATAGGCAGCTATATCCTAGGCAGCTGTAATCTTTCTTTCTCTGATTATAGATTAGCCTCCTCCCTTACTGCAATGTTTTATAAATGCTGTAAATGACTAAATGGCTCCAGGGAAGACCCCTTCCCTCTTCACTGTTGATCTTCATGGTAGATTAATTTCCCTCTTATCTTTCTTACACAAAGACTTCAAGGCTATCAAATTGTCTTAAAATGGAATGGTAAATACACTATTTTTAAATTGGAAAGAAAATGAAAACAAGCTGTAAAGAAAAGCCACAGGGAAAAGAAAACAAACTGTAACTAAACTATGACTCTAATTCATAAAGTAGCCTTGTATAGAAAATATTATAATCCTACTAAACTGTATTTTCCACCTATATAAGCGAGAACTTTTTATTTTTTGAGACAGAGTCTTAACTCTGTTGCCCAGGCTGGAGTGCAGTGGCATGACCTCAGCTCACTGCAACCTCTGCTGCCTGGGATTCTCCTGCCTTGGCCTCCCAAGTAGCTGGGATGACAGTCATGCACCACCCTGCACCCCGTTAATTTTTGTATTTTTGGTAGAGATGGGGTTTCACCATGTTGGCTAGGCTGGTCTTGAACTCCTGAACGCGAGTGATCCACCCATCTCAGCCTCCAAAAGTGCTGGGATTAAAGGCATGAGCCACTGCACCTGGCCTGCAAGAACTGAACTTCTAACTTTGGAACACTGACCCCGTTTTCTGAAGTCTGTGTTTTCCCTGGTTGGTTAGCTTTCTGCTTGCATTAATTCCAGATTCTGATCCTTTTTATTACTTCAGGTTGACAATGTCAAGAAAGGCAATTTAGCAGAGTAGTCACAATGGTTTACCAGTGATTTTCCTCAGGAGTCAGCCTAGTTTTTTCCAAACTACATTCTCCCTCTCCCCTAACCCTATCTCCCTAGAATAATCACTGTATATGACAGTTAGACATAAGATAAAAGTTATCCTCCAGTAATTTGACTCCCTGCTAAACAAAACTCAACAACCGTCTGACAAAATTAAGAGATCACTGGTTGGGTGCGGTGGCTCATGCCTGCAATCCCAGCACTTTGGGAGGCCGAGGCAGGTGGATCACAAGGTCAGGAGTTCAAGACCAGCCTGGCCAACATGGTAAAACCACATCTCTACTAAAAATAGAAAACAGAAAAAGAAAATTAGCTGGGCATGGTGGCACACACCTGTAATTCCAGCTACTCGGAAGGCTGAGGCAGAATTACTTGAACCAGGACCTGGGAGTGGGAGGTTGCAGTGAGGCTGAACTATGCCACTGTACTCCAGCCTGGGCTACAGAGCAAGACTCTGTCTCCAAAAAAAAAAAATTAAGAGTTCATAGTCTCTACAACACGATAATCAGCAATGCTGCAACAAACAAATGGCTGGCCAGATGTGTAAACAAACAGGAAAATGTAACCCAGAGTCAAGAGAAAAATCCATCAATACAAACAGACTTATAGATAATTTTGACATTGGAATTAGCAGTTAATGACTTTTTAAAAACCGTGATAAACATAATAAATAATCTATAGGAAGAGATGGATACATCCTTCTCATTTAACTGGAAGTATACAAACTTGTTAAAACAAATGCCGAGCTAGGCATAGTGGCTTGTGCCTGTAATATCAACTACTAGGAGGCTGAGGTGGGAGGATCACTTGAGTCCAGGAGTTCAAGACGAACTGAGCAGCATAGTGAGACTCCCATATCTAAAAAAATTTAGAAATGAAACAAAAGCTGGTCTAAGTTGTTAAAATATGATATACTTCCAGAAAGAATGGCAAACAGACCTTGCCCCAAGTCACCCAAGTGTTTGCCTACAACTGACTCCCCTTCCTCAGAAAAATCTGGCCAACTGAAGGATTCATTATTGGCTTAGTAGGCAGATATCATAACTCTGTTTGATAACCCATGTCTTTTCATGCTGTATTGTTTAAATTTTTTGTTTTTTGTTTTTGAGACACAGTCTCATTCTGTTGCCCAGGCTGGAGTACAATGGCATGATTTCAACTCATTGCAACATCTGCCTCCCAGGTTCAATGATTCTGGTGTCTCAGCCTCCTGAGTAGCTGGGACTACAGGTGTGTGCCACCAAACTCAGTTAATTTTTGTGTGTTTGTGTTGTTTTCCTTTTTTAGTGATGTGGTTTTGCCATGTTGGCCACGCAGGACTCAGACTCTTGACCTCAAGTGTCCACCCACCTCAGCCTCCCAAAGTGCTGGGATTACAGGCATGAGCCACCGTGCCCAGCTCAGTTCTTAAATATTTTTAATATCACAACTGTTTATAAGTACATTTAAAATCTATGTAAATACACTCTAAGTTATGTCCCTCAAGAGCGTCTTCAATCACTGATTTCATGAATTTTATGAGAGCTATGTGGTAGCCCAGGTGTATGTGTGTGTTAAGCGAGTGTTTAAATTTAGAATCTTGGATGGGTCACCTGTAATCCCAGTACTTTGGGAGGCTAAGGAGGGGAGATTGCTTGAGTTCAGGAGTTTGAGACCAGACTCCACAACATGGTAAAACCCTGTCTCTACAAAAAGTACAAAAAATTAGCGGGGTGTAATGGCATGCACCTGAGAGGTTGAGGTGAGATCACTGGAGCCCAGGGGTCTGAGGCTGCAATGAACTATGATCATGCCACCACTGCACTTCACCCTGGGTGACAAAGTGAGACCCTGTCTCAAAAGAAAAGAAAAGAAAAGAAAAGAAAAGAAAAGGAAAAAAAAAGAAAAGAAAAAGAAGAGAGAAGGGTGGGGAGAAGAAAGGGAGAGAGAGGGAAAAGGAAAAGAAAAGAAAAAAGAGAAAGCAAGGAAAGAAGGAAGGAAGGAAGGAAGGAAGGGAGGGAGGGAGGGAGGGAGGGAGGGAAGGAAATTTTTGACTGGGATCTAAAGAATATGGTTAAAAAGTGATATGCTAGACGTCCTTATGTTGCCAATACATACAGCGAAGTAGAAGTGTTTCTGATTAATCAAATATTCCTAACAGGGAATTATATAATTTGTAAATTACCAATTCTCAAAAATATAAATACATTTAATACTTAACTAATATTAAACACTGCATACAACATACTGCTTTCCTAAGTAAGTACCCAGGATGGAGGAAGAAATGAAATAAACTGTGGTATTTAAAAATTAGAAATAGAATATCAAAGTTTTAATCAAACTCTTATTAAAATTATGTTTTTACCTTCCAAACATTCTCTATCATCAATAACAAAAGTTAGATGTCTAAAATTAATATTTTTTCCTCAATCAAAAATAAAAGATGACAGTACTCTTGCTCCTGTAAGTAACAGTATAACCAATATCCCTAGCCTTACCTGACTTAATATTTGTAGTGAGAGGAGGGAAAATAATTGGTTATAAAAATCTAAGTTTCATATCTTCTCACTCAATTCAAAATCTATAGGAAATTTCAAATTTCCAGCGGTATGTGTTTCAGGTGCTTATAACATTGCTCTGAAATGCAAGTTTTGAGAGAAACCATACAGATTTCCAATTACCTAAATTTATAGATTAAAATCTAAAACCTAGCACCTGAAAGGTTAAACTTGGACAAGATGGCAGAAATTCTTTTTTTTTTTTTTTT